GAGAGAGAGAGAGAGAATCACCTCCGATCGTCGCGGAGAATGAATTCGCGTGAGAATGAATTCAAAAGCCGCGACGCGAGGGGAAAATGGGGAAAATATACCGCGAATTTCCAGCGCACATTCGCGGAATTTATTTCGAATAAACGATCCGGGATAATCGCGCGTTTGCATTTTATGGGACCTGAACGCGACGGGCGGCATGCGATACGGATAAAGTAGCAAAGAAAGTCGAAGGGAAAATAAACAATTTTACCACCCCGCGATGGAGATGATGACGGCATGGGGAGGAATGCGCGGCGAGCTGTGAAACTGTTTCGAAGACTTCCGGATGGATTTCTGCGCTCGAAGGAAGTAGCCGCGAACAGCCGTAAATCGCTTTCCCGCGTTCCATCACTTTCCATTTATTTCGACAGAAAAATCAGGTGCTCCGCTTGAAATTGCTTAAAATGCCCGAATATTTCCTCTGAAATCTCGGATAATCCTCTGAAATAACTACAAACCCTTATTAACTTTTGATCAAACGAACTATTGTTGTTGCGCTTTATGATAATTCGAAAATGGTAATGATAATAATTTTGATAAATTTGAACTTAAATAAGCCAATATTATAATGTACAAATTATTTGCCGATATTATATTCATGTTTCATTTCTATTGCGGAAACGTTGTGCAATTTTAGTTATAATTTATGTATGTAACAATGCCGTTTGCATATTAATTTTCAGCTTTATAACCGACGGTCATTTCGCGCAAACAGATTCAATATTGATTACCGACAGTGATTCTTAACTGCGCTTTATCTTAATGCCGGTTTATAAAAAATATTGTCGGAGTTGTAAAAATTTCTGAACGGAGATGTTCGTCTTGGTAATATAATCAAGAATGTCGTCAGATGAGATTGTTGCATTCCCGAGGCGCAAAAAGACGAAGAAAAGCATACAAAATAGGTAATATAACGAAAGAAAAAAGGTAATATAATGGAAAGAAAAAAGGACGAGCATATCGTAAATGTAAACGGGAGAAGAGATCTTGTGCGTTCATAGAAATGTCGTAAATTTTTCATTATAATATGTCGAGTAATGTATAATTCGGCGGCTCTAAACTTACAGAAATATAAAACGCGATGCATTGTTTAAATATGCAACACGTGAATCAGTGTAAGAGTATGATTTCGAAATCAGTTATTGAAAAATATTTTTTAAACATTATCTGCATAAAATTATAAATTTATTTTTATTTACAAATAACAAAAATGGTCAATATTCAATATTAATTTATGCCAAATTTTCCATTAATTTTTTTCTAATTGCATATGTTCCTTCTTTTATTCTTTCTTGAAACTGGAGTGTATACATTTCTTTTGAAAATTAAGAGGGTAAAAAGGAAGTGCAAGAAGAGTAGTAGAATTTTATCCTATAAGAAGTTCCATCAATTTTACTTAAATTTATCCGCAATTTAATTAATCCTCTGCCTTTTTCCAAAAAAATCTCATAAGGTTATGATATAAGTGGGAAAAAAAATTAATTAGCGCTAAGTGATTCTGCATGCTCTGCAAAAAAGTAAATGAAAAATGTTATTACGAGCTAATAATGAAAATAAAAAGATGAATTTCTTGATAAGCTCTAAAATGCTATATCGAAATAAAGATTTGCTGTAAATACTTCTGAATAAATATATATATATCCATATACCTGAGGAAATAAATAGAAAAGAGAACCCGATAAGCGATTTAACTTTGCCAGATATTTTTCTTTCTCACCGCGAGAAAACGAATCGCGGAATTCCGTAATGGGTAGCTACAATCGAGAAAAAAAAATAGTTGAAACTAGTTGAAAATAGTTGAGTATCGCAGAAGATATCGGCTTTGCCGCGTTAAAAAAATCACAAAGGTGTCTATTCGAAGTGAGCTTTTCGCTTTTTGCTTTCGCGTGGAAACAGGCGCGAGTTAGCGCGTCTCTCATTTTCACGTTTCGCTCGTGCGTTTTCACATTTCAATGTGCCGGCTCGATACGCGCCGATACGCAAATTAAATACGGAAACTCGAAATATTTGTGTGATAACCGTATCTCGATTTAAAGCAAAATTGTTTTATTTAACTTGATTTTATTTAACGAATTTTCTGTCTGAAACGTATGGGAATAAAAAATTGGGGGTTTTGAATGTTTATTGATAAACTGATATTTTCAGAAATAAGAGAGGATGTACACTATTGGCATTTGATATCAGCATAAAACCGATGAGAGTTTTTTCTCTTTTAATAAGCTCTTATATTTTGATTATACAAATGTATAATCGAATTTAATAAATAAACAGCATTTTACATATATAAATAATTATGTATCATGTACAAATAAGCAAGTTGGAATGTCTTTAAACAAATTTCAAAAAAAAATATCCGTTTCAACGTTACTTTAATGATAGCATCCCTTTAAACAATAATTTCGTATTCCTGTCGATAAATCTGTCTTGCAAATGATCCCATTGTAATATGTGATCGTCTTAATAATATGAAATATGTTCCATCATATTTCATTTATTCGTAATCGAACAGATTTTCTCAAAATTATTATACTCGAAGAAACATATTGAAAGCTCAAGAGATGTGTGTTTTAAATTAAAATGAGCGAGCGGAATAAAAAAATAAAATAAAAAAATTAAAAATAAAAAGATAAATTCCATTTCAAATGTCGTTTAAAATCAAGCCGCACGCGATAAAAAGCATTTTCATTTTTCGCGTGTAATTCCGTGTTGATTTAAATTGATATTGGATTTGTTTCAGAAGAACGGTGACATCGGTCGGATTCGGAAATTGATGATCGAGACTCTGGAGTCGGAATCCAAGCGCTGCGATGAGGGAAATATATTGGGAGCGGGTAAGCAAGATGAGATAATATTTTTTGAAAAAAAATGAAACGAGCAATATCGTCGAATGCTCTTGATTTCGAGCGAGACGGAACTCGATTGTGTCTGCTGCGACATATCGCGACCAACATGGTTCCGATTAAAAGTACGTGTTTAGTAAAGTTTACCATAGGCTCGAGTGATCTTGAATCCGACGCCTGTTGCAAATCTCACGTCGCCGTCTGCTTCGTATCATTCATCATTTATAATTCCTTCATTCCGCATGTCTTTGATCTGCTCGTGTTTACCTCTACTATTACGTGAAAATTACGATCGATCGTTAGATATTCGGCCATTTTAATTAATACCGCCGTATTAGTCGTTGGATAAATACAATAGGTAAACTACGGGCCATTTAATTATATCGGAAACGCGAGGGGGAAGGTGACGCGGTCAATTATAAACTACAAATAATTATTATTCCTAATGAGATCATAAATAATTATATTAATTCCTATATTATTTAACAATGTATATTGACAGGATGTTATATTTCTTACGGCTTCGCGTTTATTTATATAATACATCATTATCACATTTATATTACATCGACGTCATTTGAATATCCTTGTTACAATAAGAATGCAATCGTAACATCAAAATTCGGAGAATTTCTTTCATTCTTTTTTTTTTGTTTTTGTTTTTGTTTGTCTTTAACGAATCGTAACAAGGGAAAATTTAAATCGCGAGATAATCGATTATTTCTCTGTTTCCGATTCTCGGGAAGCGGGAAATAATTTGCGGCTTTTTGGGTATATAATATCGCGAATAATCGATATTAATAAGAGTTAAAACAATTGAAAATCAACAGGTTATAAATTGCATAATGCGCCCGGAAGGATCAAGAGACGATGCACGGGGTTAATGTTAATCGCATGCTCTCACACGTGTCGCGGCACACGTTTCGCATTTCCGCGCGTGTACACACGCGCGCGGATAAACAACGTTCATAGAATGTCTCCGGAGCAATTAACGTCGCAATTAATCTCGCATCGCGATGCCGGTCCGTTCGAGCAGTTCGACGAAATCAAACGCGACGGGAGCCGGCGTGCCGCCATTAATTACACAAGCGGCGGCATTGTGCGAATCCGAGCGAGAGTTTCGCGAGTTTCGTTTATTGTATTTCGCCCTCGCACAAAACGAACCCGTGCACTTGTGTGCGCGCGCGCAAACACTTACATCACACTGACATTAGTTGCTTTATTAACCCGAATTTCAATTTCCACATGTAAACGTCTTTTAATTATTAAGGCAGAATGAACTTTAAATGCACTTGGAGAGATGCCTTTCAAAGGCATTTTCCTCGCATTTCAATGTATTCAATGTATTTCAAAGGGACGTTTTAACTCGGGATTAACTGAAAGTAAAATGAAGATAATCGCGAAAAGCTCCGGTTAAATTATTTCATCGTTATTACGATCGCGAAGAAATGAAAAGTTTGGATGCAACTTGAAAGAAAGAAGATTCGATGAATGGTGTAATATCGATTATATTTCACACAGTTACACGGGGTTAAAAGCACTTTTAATATTTTCACTGTTTTAATTCAATTTTATTATTATAATTGAGTTTTATTATTCTGCATAATTTATGGTAAAATATGATCTGAAGAATCAATGAACTTTTTTATTAGTCTTAAATACACCTTAAACGGAATGTAAAATTTTTACGTATTTTTCTGTAATTATTTTAAAAACATTTTCTTCCTTGAACTTTTTTTACCTAGTTTAAGATATAAATGTATATATATTTTATAATTTATTTGATTTACAGAGATACAGACGTTGAAAAAGTGAAAATATTCTTGACATTTATCTCTAAAGTTCCACGTTTAAGTTCTATTTGTAAAAGTTCTTGCATTTTATAGCAAAGGAAAGAGAGTACAAATGAAACACATCATTATTCAAGTTTCAAGCCAACTCGCCTCCACCAAGTTTAGTTCAAATCGACGTTTGATTGTGCAAATCTTGTTAGTTTCAACATTGGTATCGATTGAAAAGCAGCGCCCAACTTTCGATGCAGTTTATATGCCACTTTTTTCTCGTCTTTTAAGTTCCTTATTTACTGTTATTACACGAAAAGAACAGTTTTGTTGAAGTATTTAAAAATGGCCAGATACAGACCTAAAAATAATAATTGTGTTAGGTCATTAAAATGATTACGAATAAGACTAATAATAATATTGTAAAATTGTTTGATATTCTAACAATCAATTTGTATGTCCTATAATTATTTTGATGATTATTTTCAAATCTGTATCTGGGCAAATTTTTAGATTTCAGTAAAAGTTTTCTTTCCTAGTAATAGTTCCATATAAATCTTTTTTCTTGCGTTGTAAATAAAAGCACTATTACACTCAGAAAAAAGTCATACCAGCAAATAAAAATTTATATACAAAGAGCATTTCAACTAAATATAATAAAGTTATAATAAGAATAATCAACAAGTTACATGAACTAAGAAAATAATATTAATTATAATAATATTAATCATTTGTAATAAATCATTAGATAAACTAATATATTGTGTATCGTTTTTGTCAGTACATATTTTTTAAACTTAATCTCAATGATATTATGGTATTATGCTTATTTTACAAAAATACTTGTCTAAACTGGAAAAATGTAATGTCATATTCTATTTGTATGAAGTCTATGTAATTATAGTTGAATCGCTATTTCATTATCGATTAATAATTCACATATATTGTTACCGTGACTATATTTTTTTTTGTATTTAATACTACTTTCGTACTTACTTATTACTTTGTAAAACTAGTTGTAGGTACTTAAATTTCGTAATTGTTATATAAATTATATAAATATTATCATATAAATACAGTTGCCAGAACTATTTTGTTTGCTCTCAATATAATGTATGACGCAAAGGAAATAGATCGTCCGTGACAGCGTAATAATTCGCGCGACTCATACGCATAATGAATGCTGATAATATCGAATATGCATTGTTTCAAGTAAATAAGCGGTGGCTTGCAGCTTCATATAGAGTCTCTATCGCATACAGAGTGGGTGCGTGATGTACATGTGGATACGGCTAAATTTCGCCCGCACCTCCAGGACCTAATGGATTCCTATTCCCGTAAGCCGCGTCAAACTCGCCGCTGAAAGACCGGCAATCCGGAGAACCGCATCGAATTTTGCACTTGCCTTTGAACGTCGAACAATCGCCGACGACCGCAGGCGAATTGTGCCCGTCGTCGCTTATGACAATAGCCGATTCGCTCGACGTGGCACACAGCGCATTTATTAATAATAATAAACCACACGATATACGTATAATTGGATCTGTATATCGCGACTCCTGTCGTGCATCGAGGAGCAGATTCATTATTTGTACGGCTACCGAATTGCGCCACCAGAAACCCATGCGGATTGACGCAACAAATATTCGCATGCACGTTTGTGATACGAGTACGGGGGCCACAAACGTAAATACTTTGTAGATATGCGAGGGACTTAATAAAATTATTAATAAATATCTTATTAAAAAATATCTATGTGATATTTTGCCGAGTTTGTCATAAACAGAACTGCACAGAGCTCCGCAAAAAGGTGGAAACACTGACAGAGGATTTTTTTCATTATAATATATTTTCCTCGTTCCTCGTTCCTAAAAAAAAAAAAAAGTAATAATAATTACTTTGCTGCTTTAGAATTTATTTTTGTCCTAATATCTCCTAATGCTGATATTTCAACCTTTTCAGGCTGGTGTCCCGAGATTTGGGACAAGATACTCTGTTGGAATTCGACGGCACCTGGACAACTGGCTGTTCAGCAGTGTCCCTCTTACATCGTGGGTTTCGACTCTCATGTACGTAGTCACGATTCTGTTAAATTAAACCGGATTTAGGATAGTTTCCCGGAAGAAACTCCATTCTCACCTCAACGAAGTTTTATTCGACGGGACAATAACAATACCGGAACGGATTAATATCGAGATTCACTCAGAGTCGCGAGAAACTTAATTAGATTAGTTTCCTGATCTAATAATCCGTTCTCTGATGGTAAGACCTTCGCGGATCGATGGTAGAGTTCGTTTTTCAACTTCAGATAATTGAATTGCCTCCGACGTAATTTTGCGACGTGTCCAAATGATTTTTCGAAGAATCTGAACCCGTTCTTTTAAGTTGAGCCTCGTTATCTTTTTTTACGTTTAACTTTTCTTTTTGGATGATCCCCCGATATGAAATTCTATCTTAAACAAAATCGATCTGTAATTTGAGATACCATCCGAAATGAGCTTCTATTACGGTCTCTACTCGTAACTCGAGAGACAGAGATGTATCCCGATATTTCTAAGAGGTAAACAATACCGAATCAATCCGAGGAAGCCGTAGATAAGAGGAAACGTCTTTCAGGCGTTCGCGTCGAAGCAATGCATGCCAAATGGCCAGTGGTTCTGGAACGTCGAAACAACGAATGCGTGGACCAACTATACCCAGTGCTACCAGGAGCAGCTGGTCACCGTTCTGATGAACATATCGGACGTACAAGCGAACAACGTCAGTCTCATCAAGGTAAAGAAAGTAGAAGTGGACTCGGTAAAGACGTGAATAGCAAGATGAATTCGTTATTCGAATAGATTTGTAATAAAAGCTTCCCTCTCATGGATTTCTTCTCGTGACACCCTCGCGCTGAAAACGGCGGAGATGAAAAGATCGATCGAAATCACATGGTGACATGACGTCAGTTGCTCCACTCGCGAGGAAATGAAAGCCGTAAACGACGTTCTGTCCAGCGGGAGGGAGGGGGATGTGTCGGGGTGCTTTGCACAGTTCATAGGGACGGTGACGGAGACACATTGCTGCGGAGTTAGTTTCCAGACTCGGACGATAATGAACCAACCGGGCGGGCAAATGAGCCAATAGCTACGTCGTAATGGTGTTATCAAGGTGGTCGGACGGAAAATGCTGACTGAAAAGAAATTTTCTCCGGGGCTTCCCGGTTTTAAGCCCGGCGGAATCGCGTGCGCCACGTAACGTTATTGTTGCGGCTCCAATTATGGAATCCAAATTGAAGCAATCAAATTACGGCTCTTTCAGTAATTTCTTATTCGCCTTTTGTCAATCTTCCTGTTTACAGTAATTGCTAGGATCTAAAAGCAAGCAGAAGAAGATGGAGAAAATAACTTTCTATCTAAATTTTATATAAATTTTATCTAAATTTAATTCGAATGTAGCATCCAAATTGAAGTAATCAAATTACAACTTTCTCGGTAATTTCTTATTCGCCTTTTGTCAATCTTCTCTGTTCTTTGTAATAATTACTAGAATCTAAAAACAAGCAGAAGGAGATGGAGTAAATAACTTTGTATTTAAATTTTATCTAAATTTAGTTTGCTAAAATTTTATAATTAAGCGCAATATGTTATTTATTTGAAAGGTGATTTCATAATCTTAATATAAGCTTAATGCAAACTTAACTATGATTTTAACGCAAATAGATACGGAAGTGCTCTACTTTCGAATATGAAACGACTTTAGACATTTCGTAAAGTGACGACAGAATCGTAACGTAACAGCAAGCGATCTCTTTGAGATCATAAAGCTGGTATTGCAGGATGAAAGGGAATACAGAATGAGACAAGGAATGCCACGAATGGAGAACAGTAGCGAACTGTGTACTAAGGAATTAGGAAAGGTTTACAGACCATAAACTAAACACAGTTTCAAACTATCCTATGCTCTTCTAAGCACGGATCATATATTGTTTTGCTAAGCTTTGTTGAAGTTGTTGCCAACAAATTAATCAAAAGCGATTTATCATCATTTACAACAAGTTGATTTCTGTCAATTTCATTTAACATTCTGTCAATGATTTATAAAACTTACTTATACATATAACTTATAATATTTCGCAAAAAATTATTCCAATTATTTTTTTATAATATTCTTTTATAATTAATCAAAAGTGCGCCGTTGCCATCTGATTATTTTATTAATTGAGTTTTCATTAATTGAGTGGATAAATGGTAAGTTAGTAATTAATTATTTTCCATTTAGAACACAATTGCATTGTTGTAGAAATACTTCCCAGTTGTGAAGACTATCTCGAAACTCGGCTACTCAATCTCGCTGTTTACTCTCATCATCGCGTTTTGCATTTTGGCCACCATCAAGTAAGTATTACTGACTAAATGTAATTTTAATACAACATTTATACAACAAGGCGTCTCGCTTTCAACATTTTCAACGTTTCACCGGAGTGAAATTAAGAAATGATTATCAGAAGTCTTTTGAAGCAGCTTAGCTTTATTCGCGTATCTTTTTTTCATTCCTAGCATGCTGTAAAATAACGGATTTAACGTCGAAGCTATTCATCGGAAGAGCAATAAATTTTAGTGCCTTGTTTACGTTGATATAAAATCGCGAACCTTGAGGATTACCGGAATCCTCCTCATCGGACACGATTGGTTTTTATTTCAAAGTCGGATCGTATCGCGGCGCCGCATAAAAATCTTGCCATCTCCTAATCGAAACGTAATTCACGTTGCCACGTTCAAGTTTGTCTCCCGTCGGACGTAGGAAATTGCGATGCCCGCGGAATATATTGCACATGCACCTGTTCGCCTCGTTCGTGATGCGAGCTTTCATGGCGCTACTGAAGGACATGCTCTTCGTGTCGGGCATCGGACTGGCTGAAGCCGTGATCAAAGTCGACGGGGATTATTGGCTGATCGACGAAAACGACGGCAATTGGCACTGCAAGGTGTTCACCAGTCTGTGGCAGTATTTCATCCTGGCCAACTACTCCTGGATCCTGATGGAGGGTATATACCTGCACAATCTGGTCTTCATGGCGCTCTTCACCGACGCCAATTCTAGCATCATAGGCTACGTCATTTTTGGATGGGGTAAGCACGATTAGTCTCAGAAGTTATATCGCTAATCTTAAAAGAAGGGATTTCTGGGATTTTTATATCGTTATAACTCACTTGTTAAATGCTTTATCATCTTCTAAATTGTTACATTTGAAAACATGAAATAAAAACTTAAAATAAATTTAAAAAACAAGATATTTATATTAATATTTTCTTACGAGAAGAATAAATCAAATTCTAAAATTTAGATTTAATTATCGATATAAAGGCTTAGTTATGTTGAATTAAATTGCTCTGCAGCGTTAACTTGTTAATTAAAGGATATTTTTTTAACAAACATTTATATGTAATAATTTATCTTTTTATATTATTTAATATATTTAACGATAACTAAAAGGTGGAATTTAAATGTTTGCTAACGGAATTGATGCTTAAATATAAAATGGAATGAGAGATAGAGTACAAGTCTACTACATTGATGTAGATTCCTTTTGAAACATGCTGACCATCTTGGAGAAAAGAGCAAAATTTACTATAGGGAAATGTTGAATCTCTCAATCTTCAAGAATTCTCAAGAGTTCTCGAAAATCGACACAATGGATCTGCATGAAATATGACACAGACTACGAAAATCATCGAAAGTTGTGCAGCAATGCGAATAACAACAATGGCATAATTTCAACTTTAAACTATATATTTTAGGCTTCTTTTTCTAAGTTTTACTTATAAATAAGAGAAATATTCTTTCTAATTTTGTTTTTATTGTATTACTATAATTATCATAAAACACAGAACGATAATATAATTTAAAATACATTCATATTTTTTTCTATAATTCTAAAATTTCAAGATTACCAGAAAATAATTTTTTATTAGATTAGTTATTGTCTCTTATTGATGGAAAAAGATCTATTATTAATAAGCGCGATTAATAAGCTCATTTAACAAACGTTTCATGTAATCGTTACAACTTTGCCTCACAGGTCTACCAGCCGTATTTATCCTACCTTGGGTAGTCACGAGGATCATATTCGAGGATACATATTGCTGGACGACCAATGTAAAGCCTCTCTTGTTCCTCTTCATACGAGTGCCCACGATGCTCTCTATTTTGGTAAGAAATCCCTCTTAAACATCTCATTGAGTTC